GCTGGCATAGCATCCCCTGCCCAGAGCTCGTGTCTCTTTTCACCATCATTCATAGTGAGCCTCTTAGTCTGTCCGGGTTGCTGTGACAAAGTCCCAGAGACCGGGGGCATGCACGACAGAACTCTTTTCTCTCATGGTTCTAGGGGCTAAAAGTCAGGATCAGCAGAGTCGGTTCCTTCTGAGCCCCTCCCTCACTTGTAGGTGGCTGCCTTCCCCCTTGTGAGCCTATATCCTCATCTGCTCTTTACAGGGCTACCAGTCGCACTGGACTGGGGTCATGCTGATGGCCCCATTTTAACTTAATCACCCCTTGAAAGACCCTGTCTCCAAATTACAGTCAGATCCCAGAGGTTAGGACTTCAGCAGATGAGTCTGGGAGGTGCACAATTCAGCTTCTAACAGCATCCAAGGGGGAAAGGAAACTGATTTGTGCTTTTTGGTAAACACAAGTTGGAGCTGGGGCCCTGGCACCTCTGAGAGAGGCTCTTGGTGCCCCCCAACCCCGTGTGGGGATATGCGTGGTGTTCTGGGCTTCCTCCTTTCAGGCAGACCTGGCCCGGCCTCCCCCTAGCCTCAGAGCCACAGGTTGGAGAGGGGAGGGCCTTACTAGTCACCTGCTGTAAGCCACATGTCCTTCCACCCACCCTACCACGCACCTTTGATGACGTCCCCCAGACGTGGTCTCTCACCCTCCCTTGGTGGAAGCTGCCTGTTCAGCCCCCAGTTTTAGGATGGAGCTGGGCTCCCTGTCCTCTGGTCATCTAACCTTTTCTCCACTATCAGGTTCTCTTCAAGATTTTTTTTTAACATTTGAGGATAATAGAAGGCCATCTTTTTTGCATGCTCCCCGGATGACCCGGCTCTGGTGCCAGATTGCCAGGCTCAGATTTAGAATGTGGGTTGCAAGTGTCCACACAGAGGCCAACAGGACTGGGCACCAGCTGCTCTGAACCAGCACACCTGCCTGGCATCAGGGCGGCCCCTAGGACCACATGAGTTCCTGAGTTATAATCACCCCAGTGTGCTATTATTAAGCCATGCCTTACTTGTTCTGACTTTATTTTTTTGATTGGTGGCTTTTAAATTTTTTTCTTTAAAGGGAGAAAACTATGAGGTGGTGCATGTCAGGATTGGAAGTATGCATTTCTGTAAAGTTATGTCACGGTCACGTGTGTTTGTGGAGCAGGTGTTAGATGCAGACTGCCTGCAGCTCAGGGTGGCCCCCTGGCCAGAGAATGGCCCAGCCTCTCCTTCTGAGGTTTCCGAAAGCACTGACTTCCTCCTCACCCTCTAGTTTCAGAACCTGGGGCGGCCTCTGCTCCATACCTTTCCATCCTTTGTCCAGTGGTATCCTGGAGCCAGCTTGAGAGATCTGATTGTTACATATTAGGAAATTTTGTGAGCTTATTATTAGATATGATCATTATTGAAAGTTAAATTGTATTAAAAAGAAAATTAATAAATACCCAAAGCGTATGATATCCTGATTATTTTAAATAACTTGAGGTTAGGCTCAGTGTCTGTAGTTCAACAGCTAGGGCTCCAGCCACATACACCAGAGCTGGTGGGTGTGAATCCAGCCCAGGCCTGCTAAACAACAGTGACAACAACAACCAAAAATAGCTGGGCACTGTGGCGGGCGCCTGTTGTCCCAGCTACTTGGGAGGCTGAGGCAAGAGAATCGCTTAAGCCCAAGAGTTTGAGGTTGCTGTGAGCTGTGATGCCACGGCACTCCACCAAAGATGACATAGTGAGACTCTGTCTCGGAAAGAAAAATGTGATGGAGAAAATAAATATGAATAGTACAGATTAAACTTAAAAGTGTAATTTATCCTTGAGTTGAAGCAGAGACGGCAGCTGTGCTGTGTCAGGCAGAAAACCCAGTATTTAAGGGGTGGGGAGAGGAGAAAAAGGCAGTATCATGGAGCAGACAAAAATGAGGAAACGTTCTCCCAGGGTGGGCGAGCTCTTAACTGATACGGCAAAGAAGTTGCTCATGTCACCAACCAGTGACATTCTGACATAAGTCTTGCCTTCCTCATTTAACTTTCATCTTGTTAGTTCAGGGAAATGAAAACACCAACCAACTTCATGGTCACAGAACTGCTCTCGTTTGCCGATTACATCCAGACGTTGGCAAAATCCGGCGTGTGGCAAAAGTTACTAAAAGCCCCGGTGAGAATTAATTGGCTACATGATGTTGGCAGTAAGGAGCACTGTGTATTGTACTATTACTTACAAGGCGTGTGCTTCTCCTCTGTATCAGTGAAATGGGCGGTGTGTTTACATGCTTGTATACACGCATCAGATCCACACACGCCCCTCTGCATTGCCTGGAGAGCTGGTTGTGACCACTGCCCGTAACCAGGAATTACTGAGTCTGGTCCAGCCTGCTTTGCGGGATTATTAGCCCATCCCTCCTGCTCCCTGATCTTATCCTCTTCCCACCTCCCACTGAGATGCCTCCTCTCAGAGCTGAAGTTCAAACGGCCCCTCCCTGTGGATCCAGCCCACATTCAAAATCCTCCCTGCCTGTTCATCCTGCCCTCTGGCTGTTTCTCAGCTAAACTCAGCTCCGGAACTCCCAGTGAGGCTGCCCCTTTGCAGCCTTGGTCCTATAAGCCTGAAGTGACAGAGTGTGGGTCTGTCACCCTGTGGTCCCCTGACTTCCTGTGAGGCCCGTCAGGATGTGGGGGAGCCCAACAGAGGGCCAGGCTGGTCTGAACCAGCCTCCTTCCTCTGGTACCCGCCCTTCCTGATGGGGGGTCCTCTGCTTGGGGAAGACCCAGCTCAAGTTCAGCCTCCCACCGGGTGACTGTTCCTACCCACTGTGCCTTTCCCCTGTCGGGAGCCCTGCAAACTGTGAAGTGCTGGGGAGCAAGCACATTGTAACCTCAGGAGTGGCATTTAACACTCTGAAATCCTGTCACCTCCAGTTCAGTAATGTCCTGGCAGTGAGCATTTAAGGAGTGTCTAGGGGAATGCTGCCCCAGTCGTCTGGCCCATATTTCATTCCTTCATTTGTTTATTCATCCATTCAGCAAGCCCATGCCAGGCACGTTCCAGGTGCTGGAGATCATGCAGCTCAGAGCTGGACTTACATTGTCTTAAAATCCTGGGATGTTACTTATTTTAAAATGACAGCCCTTTCTCATTATGAAACAGTTAGAACTGTTAATAAACTACATTAACTTGCCAGATAAATAGTTTTCCATAGAACAAGCATTTAAAATGGACAGACTCGGGTGCAGTGGCTCACACCTATAATCCTAACACTCTGGAAGGCAGAGGCTGCAGGATCACCTGAGGTCAGGAGTTCAAGACCAGCCTGAGCAAGAGCAAGGCCCTATTTCTGCAAAAAATAGAAATATTAGCCAGGCGTGGTGGTCAGAGCTGGTAACGCAGCTACTTGGGAGGCTGAGGCAGGAGGATTGCTTGAGCTCAAGAGTTTGAGGTTACTATGAGCTATGATGACACCACTGCACTTAGCCCAGATAGCAGAGCAGACAGACCCCCCATGTAATGTGGTACCTTTTGCATAACCCTTTTATGGTCTTTTTGCCTCTTCTGTAGCTTTGGGATTTCAAAGAGGACATGCTGCTTTCCAGCCACTGGTCTCTGAGAGTGATGGTGACACTGCCCTCTGTGCTCCTGTCCACCCCCCCCCCCAGAGGCAATAAGGGCCAAGACGGGATGATTGGCCAGGACGCCTCTGTTGAAAAAGTCCTGTGCCAAGGCCTGCCCAGTCCCAGGGAGTGTCTTTCTCTCTCCTGTTCCCACCCCACCCATGTCCTCTGCCTGCAGCATTTGGGAGGAACTTCGCAGACCATGGTGTTTCTCCTAGCCTAGCCTCATCTCGGTGTCAGAAGCACGTGGAACCTCAATCCCCCCATCTGAAAGCAATTTCAGACAGAGCCCGTATCCCTGACAGAGCTCTCGAAGTATAGCCAGTTCCCAAACTAAACAGTTTTTTAGTGACACTGACAGTCTCATTGCTGTTTGCACACTGCTCTGCTCCTCCCCACATGACTGACCTAGACAAGGGCACTTATGTCCTGTTCCTGGGGACAGAAACCACATGGGCCTCATGCAGCGCAGCCATCTGCACCGCAGTCCCGAGCCCTGGGACGGCCAGATGTGACTCAGTAGCAGCTCCACCGCCCGCCTGTCTGGTCCTGTGCGCCACACACGTGTGTGTTTGTCTATTCCCCTGACGCTCCTAGAATGACACCCAGTAGCCACTGCCGTCATTCCCACTTTGCAGAGAACACTGGCGTGTTGAGGCTAATAAGTTGCTGGTGCTGGGGCAAAGCCAGGACGTGCACAGCCCATTGCATCAGATCCAATCTCTTACCCACCCCACTGTGCTGCCTCTCTCAGGGGACTGGTAGCTTTTGTGAATCCCCCCAGCTGATTTAAACTGCTTTGTAAGGAACAGACTAGGGCCAGGGAACTTGGAGAAGGGGCCTTGGGGCTCGGGCCTAATCCTGGCTGTGTGCTATAGTGGAAGCTTCTGGAAAACTGAGGCCAGCTCTTCCCTTCAGGAGGCCCTGCCTCAGCTTTGCGCTGTGGGGGGCCCCTTTAACCCTTGCCAGACTGTGCACCCAGCCCAATTGAGCAAGGAATCCTCAGGGCCCAGGGGCTGTGCCTGCCCAATGCCCATGTTCCCCCCTCTTAGATCTCACTGGGGACACCTAGGACCCTGGAATTCCCCAAAGGTTCCCTGTGCCCCCGACTGCTCATGGCATGTGTGTGTTAGCCTGTACACGCAGTGTTCCATGCCGGAGCCCAAGACCCCTCTGTGTGCGAAAGGAGCTAGGGTGGGTGCTGGAGCCAGCACTCCTGCCTCGCTCCATTTTAGCCCAGTCTCCCAGGAGCCTGGGTGACACTGGCCTGTCAGCTTTCCTAGGGACACTATCTCTCTTCTTTCTCATTTTTGCCCATGCTGACATTCCTGGGAGCTGTGGCCTGATCCCCACCTCCCTCTTGTTATTTCTCAGCTGGGGGGTTCCACTGGCCATCACTGCGGCAGCTGTCGCCCTAAAGAAGATCGGCTACGACGCCTCCGACGTGTCTGTGGGCTGGTGCTGGATTGACCTGGAGGCCGAGGACCGCGTCCTGTGGATGCTGCTGACGGGGAAGCTGTGGGAGATGCTGGCTTACATCACACTGCCCCTGCTGTACCTTCTGGTCAGGAAGCACATCAATAGGGCGGTAGGTGCTGCCATGCTGCCCTCAAGCTCCACACCCTCCACGTGGCTGCTATGCCCACGTGCAAGGCCCACCTAGCCCCATGCCCTGGTGCTGAGATGGGCCACCTTAGGGGACGGGCTGCAGGTGTGGGGACAGATCCAGTGACAGGCCGGAGGTACCCAGCACTTGCTACAGCATGCCAGGCACTGGGCTACACACAGCAGGACGGATAAGGGTCAGGAGCTGGGTCTGCGCCTCCTCTCGGATGGCAGGGCTGGGCTACAGCTCTCTCCTGACCCCTGGCGGACATGCTTCAGTGGTCACTTAAACTTGAGCAGTTTGGCTAAAAGGTGAGGATGTATCTGAGAAAGACTGGGACGCTCCTGGGAAAGGAGACAGAATTCCATGATCAACGATACTGATAACTCACTTCATTAGTCTTGGGGGTTAGAATTGTTTCACAAATGGTTAGCTTTTAAGGAATTCATAATAGGCTGGGCTGGCCAGCAAATCTAGGAGAGAATGATTTGGCTCTATACTTTGGCCATGTTCTTCCTTGTTCCTGATGAACAGCTCTGCACGTGGGAAGTAGGGTCCATCCTGGCTGCAGCAAACCACAAAAGGCCTCAGATTAACATGTCCATTGGGCCACTCCCTGCTCATTTAGTGGATTTTTACTGAGCACATACCAGCCCAGGATCTCTGTAAGGCGTGGGGTATGTATAGCAGGGACCATGCCCTCCTAGGTGCTCAGGGTTCAAGGTCATATGAGTCACCTGAGCTGGGGTGGAGAGGTCCATGTGGGGATGGGAAGTTGGTGGAAAGCCCAGGAGCCAGGTCAGAAGAAGGATCTAAGCTCAGTACAAATCTGGGGCACTGTAGCACACAGATGTAAGAGGCACTGCATGTCTCCCCCTACCTTCCTGAGCTAGTGTCAAGCCCTGGGAAGACCTGGGCAGCCTGGGTGGTCATGGCAAGAGGGTGCCCATCCGCTCAGGGCTGCCCTGGCTGTCCCCACATAGCACGAGGCCCTCTCAGAGTACCGGCCCATCCTCTCGGAGGCACACCGCCTGCCCTGCCACTCCTCCATGGCCGATAAGAAGCTGGTCCTCATCCCGCTCATCTTCATCTGCCTCCGGGTCTGGAGCACCGTGCGGTTCGTGCTGACCCTCTGTGGCTCCCCAGCGGTGCAGACACCAGTGCTGGTCGTTCTGCACGTAGGTCTGCCCTCCCCAGCCCTGGCTGCCCCTTCCCCCAGCAGAGGAAGCCTGGCCTCACTGCCTTCCTCCCTGCTCAGATGAGGCCTTGGAAGGAGAAGGTAGAGAGACCTATGTGGTGGTGGGTGGCAAGATGCTCTCTCCAGGACGGATAAGGGTCAGGAGCTGGGTCCCACTGATCCTGGGTCCTTCCCACCCCAGAAGGCCTGGAGACAGGTCTGTCCCAGTTCACAGTGGCCTGGAGCTCTGCCAAAACCCTACAGGGGCAAGAGTGTCCCTGACCAGCCTGGAGGGCAGATGGGTGGGAAAGGTTCTGTGTTATACAGCACTTCCCAGCCCCTCACCTGTGTATGCGCTCAGGCCTCCTCTCTCTCCCTGATAGGGTATCGGGAACACGTTTCAGGGGGGTGCCAACTGCATCATGTTCGTCCTCTGCACCCGCGCTGTCAGAACCCGGCTCTTTGCCCTCTGTTGCTGCTGCTGCTCTGGTCAGTCTCCAACCGAGGCCCCAGCTGGCCCTTCCGAGGCTCCAGCACCCTCCAAGACAGAAGGGCCTTAGGCATCCAGACAGCTTCCAGAGGAACTTCCAAGCACTTGAACTTTGCCCTTCCTAGTTCTCTGCATAGCCCCCTGGGGACAGGCGGCTCAGTAAGTCCCTTGCTCAAGGAGTGGGTGTCTGTTGCACTGGAGACCCCACTAATGACACCACCCCCGTGGGGGAGCAACCACCAGCTCTGCTTCGTCTACCTCCTGGACCCTCAGGTGGCACGTTCCAGCCACACCCATATCCTGGCACACTGGGGGCCGTTCACTTGCATAAGGGTAACAGTGAGAGTCAGGGAAACCAGTGGTCCCTGATCACTGCCTGGGTGCCTCTAGTCCAGTGGCCCTCAGTGTCCTGAGGACCTCATAGCACTGTTTACAATTTGAAGGACCCACACCTGTACACCCATCTGTGTACAATTAAAAATGGTGTCCAAGATGTGTCCCTACCTCCTGCACCCGAGGAGCTGATTCCTGGTTTGCTGGGCATTGAGATTCCCTGGAGAGCCCGGCCTTTCTTGGATAGCTTTGCTGACTAACAAAGAAGTCTGGTAGTTTTACCCAGGTTGAAGTTTCCCTTAAGGTTGTGTGGTGACCAGCACACAGGAGCACAAGCCAGCACAACTGCTCAGGGACACCTAGTCTCCTCAGGGTGTCCTGGATTTCCTCTCTGTGGGTTGCCAACCCTTGATGCTGGAATCTAGACCCTTGCCTCCACCTGTCAATCACTTAAAACATAGTTCCCTCCTTTTGACGCAAGGTCTGGAACAAGAGGCATCTCAGGGAACCCCTGAAGACACCCCACTCCTCTCCAGGCCCTTCCCCATAATCACCCTGTTCATAAGGAGACTAAATGGGGGTGAGATGGGAGGGGACCTGGCTTATTCACTTCCTAGTTCAGTTTTTGAGGGAAAGGTGACCAGAGAATTACTGAATGATCCAAATACTGATTCTTCCCTGAAGGTGAAGGTTGTAAGATTCTATGGTTTGGGTGCTGGGTCAAGGGAAGTGGCAACATGGATTTTGTACATTTAAAAGGCAAAGGATTTAAAATAAGCAACTGCATCTCTATTAAGGTGACCAGATTTTAACATTGGTAAAGTGGGACACCATTGAGGGGAAGGCGGGGCCTGGGGGGTGGGGACTGACAATAATGCAACCTTTGATAAGCAGTTCTCGATAATCAGTTCTCAGAAATTATTTATTATTAATGTTTAACATTATAAAATTAACAAAAATAATATAAAACGCATATCCTAGCAAAATAGCCACATGGCAGCCGAAAACCGTATATTCCCTTCCTGTTCTCCCGTGTTCCCTAGCTTATCGTGCATTCTTTCCAAAAATCAGTGCTTTTTTAAAACGCTGCAGGACTCAGGACAAATTGTTAGAAATAGGGACTGTCCCACCAAAAGCAGGATGTCTGGTCACCTTGTGGGGGGGGGCTACTTGTTGTTCCAGACAGTTTGGCTCCTTCTGAGCTAATTGTCCTTGCCTAGAAGCAAGGGAGGGAGCCAGTCTCCTTCTGATACAGATTCCACCTGGGCAACCTTGCCCAGGAGGGGAGTAGGGAAATCCCATTAACCTTTTCATTTCCAAATGAAGTTACAGTAACCTCTTCATTCCCAAATGGAGTTACCTTAACCTTTTCAGCAGCAAAGAAAACCGTATATTCCCTTCCCATTCTCCTGCTGTTCCCTAGCTTGTCATGCATTCTTTCCAAAAATCAGGACTTTTTTAAAACGCCATGGGACACGGGACAAATTGTTAAAAATCGGGACTGTCCCCCCAAAAGCGGGACATCTGGTCACCTTAATCTCTATTTATATCCTATGGTCTTACACCAAAAGTTTCCTCTTTTTTCAGAAAGCAGTTTTTCCATTAGGTCACAGAAGCCGTCAGCTAAGAACAGGAAGTGTGTTATCAGGGGGGGCTTCACCTGAGACAGTGCCAAAGCGACTGCCCTTGGCTTCCATCAGAACTGTTCAAGACAGGAATGATTTTCTGAGCCTCATAAAAGGGATCTGGATTAAAGCCAAAATCATGCTGGCCAGGCGCGGTGGCTCACACCTGGAATCCTAGCACTCTGGGAGACTGAGGTGGGTGGATTGCCTGAGCTCACGAGTTCAAGACCAGCCTAAGCAAAAAGTGAGACCCCCCCCCCAATCTCTACTAAAATAGAAAAACTGAGGCAAGAGGATCACTTGAGCCCAAGAGTTGAAGGTTGCTGTGAGCTAGGATGCCACAGCACTCTACCCAGGGCAACAGTTTGAGACTCTGTCTCAAAAAAAGAAAAAAAAAAAAGCCAAAGTCATGCTGTGCTATTGGTTCCTATTTTACTCTGAAAAACAAAATATCAGTCATGTTGAGGAATCAGTCCAAAATGATCACTGTGGTTGCGTTTCTTGATGAAAATCAACAAGAGGTGAACATCTTCAGGATTTAAAATCCTTACAGCAAGACCTCTAGGCACAAAACTGAAAAAGACCCTCACTTAACTTTAGCTTCTAGAATGGAGCAATAATTCAGGAATTTGCTTGCTGCAAGGGAGAAATGCTGCAGTCTCCTTGGAGTCCTAGGCCCAGAGGAGTATGTCAGAATAAGCCCTGCTCCCTGCCCGGCGGGGCTCCCGGAACCTGCTGCCTGCAGAAAGCCCTGTAGAGGGAGACAGAGGCTCAGAAAACACCTGCTCGGGGAAGCTCAGCTTCTCATTCCAGCTGGTCGATGCCATTGGCTGCACTATCTGCTTTTGTAAAACCTCCAGAAAGTTAGACCTGGGCTGTTTCCACGTCAGCCTCCTCTGTTGCCCCCTCTTGCACCACAGACGAATTAATGGTTGCTGTGAATGCTGGTGACTGTGGCCAGGGGAGGGGCTCATCTGAGTGCCTTAGTCTTTAGCTCCAGGGACTAGTCAGTCTCGCGGGGTGGATGGAGCCCGGACCTGAAGGATGGATGAGAAGGGAAGCACACCCTCAAATTCTAAGAGGGGCTGTTCCTCTGATCCGAGCCCTATGGCAGCCATGATGCTGTTACACTTTACTGGGCCCTGTGGGTTTCTTTCTCTCCTGTGAGTGCTATTCATGTTTACTGGCCTGCATCCCTCAGTAACCCAAGTGTGACCTCAACCGTGACCGATGCTGCAGCCACAACAGTGTTCTCAGCTCACTGTCCCTCTGTCCTTATGTGCTTCTGCACCTTGGTCTTTGAATCATGTTTACCAGACACTTTCTGCCTGTTTGGGTTTTTTTCTTTTTTTTGAGACAGAGCCTCAAGCTGTCCCCCTGGGTAGAGTGCCATGGTATCAGCTCACAGCAACTTCCAACTCCTGGACTCAAGCGAGTCTCCTGCCTCCACCTCCCAAGTAGCTGGGCCCAAAGGCGCCTGCCACAACGCCTGGCTATTTTTTGGTTGCAGC